TCCGGGAGCATCACCAAGTGCCGTCCTGCTGGTTGGGACACCAAGAAGCCTGAGGGGTGGCGGGTGAGACCGCATTTAATAAACCCCCCATGGAGCCAGGCATCGTGCAAGCACCACAGAGGGACTGTGTTGTGCATTTCATTGTAGAGTGACCCACAGCAGCACAGCTAGGGCCGGAGCCCCCGGCCAGCTGACCCTGAAATGGGGGCCTTGCCCCTGCCTGCGATGCCCCAGCACCACTGCTGCTCCGCGGACATGCACCATGGCAGCCGGGCCCCAGCATCCCAGGTCTGGCTGGGAAACCTTCTGGGCTGGCCCGCTCTGCTCTCCGGTGGAGGAGGCCCCGAGGCGAGGCCAGGCCAGGTCTGGGCCGCTGCAGCACCGTGACAGCCGGCCACCGGGCAGCAGAGGTCTTCATTACGGCCGAGCGTCTCACTCTCCACGGGGCGCCTGCAGCCACATGGCAGCCTGTCACTGCTGAACGCCAGGGGCAGAGGACGCAGACAGACAGTGCAGCCGCCCATAAATATTTCTAGCCACAGCCAACGTGTCTTACTGGGCAATTTGCTTTTTAAAAAATTGCACTCTAATTTTAAGTGAACAGCCCCTAATTAGAGTGATTTACAAGGTACCTGGGGACCGGGTGGTGTTTGAACACGAGAGCCCGGAGCAGATTGATCAGCCAGCGTAATGCAGTGACACCTCCCGATAACCCCACTGCTCTGGCTGCGGCTGAGGAGGCCAGACCCTTCCAGTGGAACCGGACAGCGCGGCCACCAGGAGGCTCCTGGGCCCACAGCACCAAGTTGGGGCAGAGGCTGGCGGCCTGCAGGGGGCGCCACTGGTCCACGGGGGCTGGCAGGGCACGGACACTGGATTGGCCTTGATTTGGGTTGAGATGAGAAAGTGGCTCTGGTTACCGTTCCTTCCCACATGCCCCCTGTGCTCCTGCCTCAGGCACAGCGGGTATCTCTGTGGCCTCATTCTCCCGCCACTGCCCAGGGCCAGGCACAGAGTAGGCGCCTTATGAATGCTGGATGGGCGGACCGGGGGATCCAAACCGGGCTTGGTGTTGGCTGTTCATCGAGAGCAGGGGGAAGAAGGGTTAGGACGGGTCCGGGAGGTGCCCAGACAACGGCTGTCCTGAGTCAGAGGCGGCTGAGCACCTCCGGGGGATGGGAGGCCCGGCCGGGGCAGTGCCGTGTGAAGGGCCCAGGGGTCCCCCCACCCACTGAGCCAGGAGAGCCCCCAGCCTGGGCTGTGCCCCGCCATCCCCCCTCTCCCACGACAGCTGCAGGAGAATCAGCGCCTCTGACATTTAGGGGAAAAAAATTCAGAATCAAGAGCAGAAGGCAGAAATGAAAGGATTTTCTTGGTAAAAGGTCAGAGTGGTTTCTCTTTCTTTTGTTTAGAAATGGTTCTTGTTGAACTATGACAAGGCTGCATGTATTAATGGGCAGGGAACACGGCCCGCTGCCCAGAGAGCGGCTGGGGCGAGCGAGACAGCAGAGGCAGGGACATGCAGCAGACAAGACAGGCGGCAGCCCGCGGAGTGAGCGGGAGTCTGAAGGCCGCTCAGGGGTCGTGGGGTCGTGTGGCAGAGGGCAGGATGCACAGCTGGAACGGGCTCCTACTGACATGCACTGACTCCTTCCCTGGAGTCTGAGAGGGAGCCCCCGACGGGCACATCCCGGCCTGGACCACGTGGGGCCTCCCGGGTTCCCTCTGGGCCGTCAGGTGGAGCTGACGCCTGCCAGCAGGTGTGGGCTCCCCCTGTCTCAGGCTGGGCTGGGCCTGAGGCCTGCCCAGGTGCAGGGGTGAGCCGTGCACACCAGCAGAGCAAACTGCCTGGCGACTGCCAGGCCACCCCCTGTGGCTCCTGGGAAGTGGGGAGCACCCATTGGGCTGCTGGCAGAAGGGAGCTTTTGTTTTTTTTACATATATTCCTATTTGTGCAGCCATCACCACAATCTAATGTTAGAACATTTCCATCACTCCACAAGAAAGCCCGTACCCACTAGCAGTCACTCATTTCTCCCTCCCTCAGCCCCACCCTAGCTAACCTCCAGCCCCTGGCAACCACTAATCTACTTTCTATCTCCTTGGATTTGTCTGTTCTGGACACTTCATATAAGTAGAATCCTACAAACATGGCCTTCTGTGTCTGGCTTAGCACATGTGTTCAAGGTTCATCCATGGGGTAGCATGTAGCAGAACCTCACTCCTTTTCAGGGCTGAGTAATATTCCACTGGTGGCTGGACACATGTTGTCTATCTGTTTATCTGTCGATGATTGCTCCCACTTTGTGGCTGTCATGAATACCCTTGCTATGAATGTTCACGCACAAGTTTTTGTGTGGACAGAGGTCTTCATTTCTCTCGGGCGTGCACATGGGAGTGGAATTGCTGGGTCATATGTGTAACTTTTGTTTTCCACAGCACCTACACCATTTTAATGCCCACCAATGGGCTCCACACCCTCACCCCCACTCACCTCGTCTGTCCTTGACTGTGGCCGTCCTCGTGGTGTGAGGTGGTGTCTCCCTGCAGTTTCGATTTGCATTTCCCTGAAGACTCATGGTGTTGAGCGTTGCTTCATGTGCTTGTTGGCCCTTTGTGTATCTTCTTTGGAGAAATGTCTGTTCAGGGTGTTTCTCCACTTTTTAATTGGGTCATTTGTCTTTTTATTTTGAGTAGTGAGAGGTGCAGGTATATTCTGGATATGAGTCCTTCATCAGATGCGTGGTTTGAGAGGGAGTGTTTTGTCAGGCTTCTGTGGGCCGGGAGAAGCATGTCCACCTCCAGCCTGACCTGGGGCTGCACTGACGGGCACACAGGACACGTCCCAGCCCCATGGACGGGCCGCAGGCGGTGCTTCTCAGCTTCTGGTGGCCCTTAGGAGAATCCCACTGAGGGAGAACCAGGGAGCGGGGAGTCGGCAGGTTTGGGGATCAGTGAGGAGAAGCCCTTCCTGGTGAGAGCTGTCTGGGAAGGGGGGGTCTCCCCACCATCAGGAGTGTGCGTGTGTCACTGGGTTGTCCCCTGCGGGCATGTCCCCTCCAGCCTGGGGACTCTCTAGTTTCGAGGACAGCCATGGTCCTCAGGGCAGGGAGTGTCCGAGCCCACCCTGAGCTGACCGGGTCAGATGTGCAGAGCGGGAGGGTGCTCATTCCGTTGGCGGGGGCTGGCCCTCAGCGTCTACCACCCCACACAGCTCCCGACACCTCTTAAGCTGCCCCTGCCAGGGCCCTGCCTCGCTGAACCGGGCAACAGAGGCCACAGGCTTCTGTCTGGCCTACGGCTCCATCTTCCCAGGCAGGGGCCCCAGCTCACCCTGAACACTTTCCCATCCCCGGCTGCCATGGGCTGGCCTTCACAGGTGGCGCTCGTTCAGGCCAGCAGGCAGGCTGCAGCCTGGGCCAGGGTGGCCCCAGGTGTCTCACTCACCTGGGCTGGGCTTGTGGGCAGGCCAGGCCCACCTCAGGGCGGGCAGGGCGCTGTCTGGGGTCAGGCAGCCTCTCTTGCCCCTGGGAGTCTCCAGGGGCCACAGGAGGGTCTGTAAGAGGGAGGGAGGGAGCACTGAGAGCCCCCTGCCCAGGTGTTCAGGCACTTTCCGGCCTTTGCCCCCCAGCCTCGAACCCCGGCTGCCCTGCACCCCCTCAGGAGCCCCTGTGCTGGGCTCAGCTCTGTCAGACCTGTCATGTCACCTGGGCCAGCCTCAAGCTCTCTGGGCCTCAGTCTCCCCATTGCACACGAGGGTCCGACCAGCTAGTTTGGGGGCCTGCCCTGGGCACACAGTATTCGGAGGCTCGTCTCCTCAGTCCCGAGGGACAGGCCTGTTCCTCTGTGGCTCCTCCCAAGTACAAGTGACATTTACATAAAGAAGCAATGGAAGGAAAGAGCCTGGGCTCCAGGATTCCTGGGGCGGAGACCGCAGCTCCCCCTCAGGTTCTCCAGGGCTGCCCGCCCCGCTCCCGGCCCCCACAGCTGCTTGCTGCTGCCCTTCCTGCCCTCGGCCCCTCACGCGGGTCCCCAGCACCTGTGGGCCGGCAGAGCTGTGGACCGCGGCTCCCTCGCTGCACAAATGGGAAAACTGCGGCCTAGAGGGGCGTTTACAGCAAGCCCCGCCTAGTGGAGTTAACTTCCCAGCGGGGCTGCCATGTGGGAATCCCCCTTCATTCTGCAGCCGAGGCCGCGTGGCCAGGAAGACACAGGATTTCACCCTGGGTCGGCTGCCTCCATGGGCAGCCCTGCGCCCGCCCTGATGACAGAGACCCTGCCCTTGCTGGGTCTGCACAGAACAGGGCAGTGGTTGCAGAGGTGGGCGAGGCCCTGACCCGGCACCCGCCTGGGCACGAAGCAGCCCCTCGCTGTGTGACACTGGCCCCTCTACTGTTCCTCTGTAAAATGGGGCAGCATCAGCCCTCGCAGCCCTGCACCTTCGGGGAGCACCCGAGTTAACCCTGTGCGTGCTCAGGACGGCGCCTGGCACGAGCACTCCTTAGTCCCTCTTCCTCATAACTGACTGCTGGGGTCGGAGAGTGGGGAGGGCTGGACAGGCTGGCCCTGAGAGCTGGTGAGCTGGGGTCCACACCCCACCTCCTGGCTTCTGGATTCCAGAAATGTGCATGAGACCCCCGCCTACTGGGACCTGATTGGCCACTCCCGGGAGGCCCAAGAGATAGCATCGCCTGCTGGGAAGTGCCTGGACTTGGGCAGACGGGCCGGGCTCTCTCGGCGGGGGGGTTGGGAACCGGCCGGTCCCTGTCTGGCCCCAGCTCTGACAAGTGGAGGGAAGCCTGGGACAGCAGGGCCGTGGCCTCCCACCCGCCTGAGCCAGGCTGCACTGGCCCCCCGGCAGCCAGCCCTCCTGGTTGTCTGGGCCTCCCGGCTCCTCCCTGTCCTGTTGCTCCAGGGGCCGGTGGGGAGGGAGCGGGGAGACCCCCAGAGACCCGCCGCCGCGCTAACCGTGTCCTCTGTGTCTCCCTCCCACCCTGCAGGCCACAGGACCCTCGGGCGCCAAGATGCAGCTGCTGGAGACGGAGTTCTCGCGCACGGTGCAGGAGCTCATCGAGCTGCACCTGCTGCGCCAGGACAGCATCCCGGCCTTCCTCAGCGCCCTCACCCTCGACCTCTTCAGCCGCCAGACCGTGGCCTAGCTGGCAGCCGTGGGCCCGCCGGTGCCTATGTCCTCGGCCTCCAGCAGGTCCCAGCCCCACCCAGGCCAGCTGTGCCATCCCACCCCTGCCCGCCCCCCGCCCAGCCCAGCCTCCTCAGCCTATGTCCCACCCTCTGCCCAGACAGGGCAGCGTCATGACATGATGGGACCCTCTGAGCCCCGACCCGGTCACCCCCCACTGGTCAGCATCCCGTGTACAGGACCCCTGTGGGCACACTGCTGGCCTGCAGGGGTTAAGCTGCTCCGGGATGCCCCACCCCACCCCCCTGGATCCCTGAGTTCACACCTGCTCTGCAGGAAAGGGCCCCACCCTCCTCCTCACCTCCGTCCTGGAAAGCAACGTGAGGCTGCTCTTGCAGACAGCCTGGGGGCAGTGCTCTGTGGCCCCACTTCATATCCCCCCACCACCATGGTGTCCCGCCGCCCACACACCGCTCAAACTCGGCCGTGCATGGAGCCTGGTGGGTGGACCTGTAGCCACCAGCCAAGGTCCCTGGCTCCTTATGAAATAAAGTTTTCTCCTCAGCCACCCCTGCCCGGCTTGTGTGTGTGTGTCTGAGCCCCCGAGCTGACAGGCTCCCTCTGCTGACACTCAGTCTGGACACCAGGGGATGGCCCCCGTGCAGTCCAAGCCCAGGAGAGGTCTGGGGGACAGTGGGGTGGGCAGCCCAGGAACAGCCACCCCCGACAGAAGCAAGGGAGCAGCCCGCTCATCTGGAGGGTTGAGGCGTTCTCTGCGCGTCTATGCACAGAGCCCACACACAGCTAGTGCTCAGATGGGACACAGTGGCCCCCTGGCCTCAGGTTCCCTGCCTGCCAAATGGACCAATGACCCTCGCACTCTGTGGTCTCGGGAGCTGGCCGGGAGGCGGCTTCAAGCCCTTCTCATAGGTGCTGGCAACAGGGGCAGCCTGGGCCCCTCACGGGGGTAGGGGTCTCCTCAAATCCCAAGCCCCCACAGGTGAGGCGCTGGTTCCACACTCACATCCTCTCCTTCATTTGGTGATCTCAGGACCACCGTCCTCCCAACTGTAACGCAGGGTTTGGACCTCGGGGTCCCAGGAGCTCACACTTCCCACCAAGGTGCCCAGGGCTAATGGGTTCACGGCCAAGTCTCGGGTCAGCCCTCTCCCCACTCCCCACCTGAGGTTCCTGCGGGTCAGGGTTCAGGTGGCACAGGGATGGGGGGCTGCCTTCATGAGAAGGGGCCCACACCGAGGGTGCAGCCTGCAGGCCCCAAGGGACTTTGGCCTCTATGCTCATAGCTCTGGGCCTGAGGGAGGGACCAGCCGACGGAAGCTTGGGGACTCGAGGGGACCTGGGTGGTGGTCCCACCCCTCGCACAGTGGGGACAGAGATGGATGGCCTAGCGGTGGAGCCGGAGCACTGCCCATTCACATGCACGGCTTGGCACTCCAGGCCCATCACCAGTCATGGGAAAAACGAGTCCTGACATCAGCCACCCCATATGTCTCCATCACCGCGCTGGCCCACGACCTGCAGCCTCACCACGGGCGCCATAGTCAGTATGTTGTGCACAGTGAGCCCGCTGTCTGAGCCCAGCGGAGGAGTGGGAGCAGCCACAGGGCCCCACCTGAGCCAGCCGGCTCTGCTGCACAGTCACCCTGAGGCCGCTGCAGGGGAGGGGTGAGCGGGGGCGCCGGGAATGGGTGCACCTGCTTCCTAGAGCCCAGAGTTCTGGGAGAGTGCGGCCAGCGTGCCGTCTGTCCATCACCTCCAGGTGCTGACCCTGGGGAGGCAGGGCTGTGCCCTCCACTCCCCACCCCAGCCGAGCTGAAGGAGACTCGACTGTGCGTTCAGGTCAGGGCCGCTCAGCTCCGGAGCTCGGACCGCAAACGTGTCTCAGATGGAGACGTGGCCCCGCCAGCCCAGGGGTCACCAGCAATGTCAGCTGCCCGGCCACGAGGCCTCCTGCCAGAACTCCAGAGCCCCTGGCTCCTTCGATCACTGGTACGGCCCTGAGGGACTTTGTCACTCCCGCTTCACAGATGAGAACCCTCAAGCTTGGGTGGCGAAGTGGCTTCCCAGGGCCACAAGCTAATCAGACTGGGACTGGTCCAGCCTGGGGCTGTCTGCACTCTTTGCAGCCCTCCACGAGCTCCGGGCTCCCCACGCCATGGGCTCAGGCCCTGAACACCACTCGCGGAGGACTGAGGCGCCCCTCACCTGCTTTCTGTGTCATCATTGTTGCCGATGGGACAGCTCGACACTCATTCCATAACTCTGCTGGAGGCTGGCGGAGCCACGCGGAACAGCTCCTCTGGGGGAACCAGGAGGGAGCTCCGGGGGTCCCGGCATTTGGAATGGAGACCCCCTGGTCAGGGGATTTCAGGCAGGCGTCAAAGAGGCTTCATTCATTCAGCCTCCACTCAGACTGTGGTCCATCCGCTCCTGTGCACAGGGCTCTGTCCCAGGCGCCAGGGTCCAGCACAGAGTCCCCGTTCTCTCCTTCTGTGCCATCTGCCACTCTCAAGGTAGAGTGCATAGGGGTTTGGGGTTTTGAGGCCTGCAGACCTCGTATCTGCCCCTGGTCCTGCGCCCCCTCCTCTCATGAGCCCCAAACCCGCAATGGCAGTTGTCTGCCGCCTTCGTGGGAGGAAAGGCCCCTCCAGCGTTCTGGGGCCCCAGGCGGGGAGCGAGGCGTCGGGCGACCAGGCCTTTCTTTCCTGCTCTGCCCTCCTCCCCGTGCCCCATGGAGGCCAGGCAGGGCCGGGCCCAGGTGTGGGTGGAGGTGTGTCTATGTGGCCCCAGCCTAGGCCCGGCATGCCTCTGGTGTGTGAAATAGGCTGAGACCAGATGCTGCTAAAGTAATGGAACACTCAGGTCAGAACTTGACACAAAATCATTAGCCCATAAAAACGTGAGGCCCCTGTGTGTGTGCGTGTGTGTACATCACACCCTCCCTGCGAGCACATGGTGCTTACTAGGTGGTGGCTCTCAGACAGAGCTTATGTGGACAGTCATCCCTTGGGGCAGGGGGGAGCAGGCCAGTTCTCGCTGAGACGGCTGAGGTAGTGGGGTCCAGCTGGGCCCTGGGAGCAGGAGGGAGCTCAGGAGGCAGGAAGAGGGTCATGCAGGCTGGAAGGCCACAGTGTCCTGGAATGTGGGCCAGGACAGAAGCTCTTGACCTCTGCCCAGTGGGCAGCAGAGAGAATGGTCACCACTGGGCCCACAAGGGAGTGCAGGGGCCAGGCGGGACACCCCCAAAAGTGGTGCTCTTGGTTGCAAGGTCAGAACTAAACTCCGGCCAACCCAGGCAGTAAATGAATGTTCTGGAAGGTTTGGGTTGGGGCTGAGGCATTGGGACTCAGAGAGCTGGGAAGCCACACTCCATCATGCCCCGGCCCTGATTCCCACTGGTGGCCGCATAGCCCTGTGGCCAGGGGGCCCCTGGCCACCACCTGCCCCACTGCCCAACACATGCCATGGGGTCCCACAGCCACAGGGCCCCACCAACACCACCCTTCAAATGATTCCTAAACTGTTCCCAAAGCTCTGTGTCACCTTCCCAAGGGTCACAGTCCCTGCCTACATCTTGGACTGGCTGAGCCTGGGCCACTTGCCTGCCCCGCCCCACCCACACTGCGCTAGGAGGGTGGGGGTCCCCTCTCCCAGCACAGCCTCATGTGAGCGCGAGACCTGGGTCTCACCCACCTTCCTCCCTCCACGGGCCCCTTCCAGCTGGAAAGCCCACCCCAGGCCCTGACCACCCCAGCTTGACAGTGGTTGTGCTCCGATTCCGGGATTTTCCTTCCTGAAGAGAGGCAGGAAGGGGCAGCATCGGCCAGCCCGCCCTCCCGACAGACGTGACTGACCAGGATGGGGGCGCAGAGAACATTCTCCGGGCTGAGTCCCTCACCTACTGCTGGAGTGTGTCCACTTCCTCTTCCTGCCACCTGCCCGGACTGAATGAGCTCGCGGGCCGTGGTCCCACCAGCTCCCGGCACCCAGGCCACAGAAAGTTCTGCTTCCGGCAGATCCCCTCTTCTGCCAGCTCATTAGTGGGCGCCCGACGCTAAGTGGCTCTTAAGCTGCTAATGACTAATTGTAGGGATTAGTGCCGCGCGATGCACTGTAATTGCCGGGATGTAACAGGATTTGGTGTGCCACAGGGCTCCTTCCAGCTTCCCCGAGGCGCCCGGGGTGGATGGTGCCGCCTGCTGGGGCCTCCACGGGACCCCCGCCTCCCACCCGAGCTGGCAGTGGGGCAGCCAGCACAAGAAACTCACAGTACTTACTAGTGTCTCTTTCCCTTCTGCTTCCGCCCAGCTCGTGTTCTGGAAACGAATAAACGACTGGGTTTTCTCCAGCTCCTCTCCACTCAGCATGGGGACTGTGGACAGCAGCAGCAGCCTCACCCGGGAGCTGGGTGGGAATGCGGGTTCTCAGGTCCCACCCGGAGGGGTGAAGCAGAACCTGCGTCTGACACTGCCCTAGGGGTTCGTGTGCCCCGTTCAAGGCTGTGAAGCCCTCCCCTGACTGAAGCAGCCCCGTTCGCAAAGCTCCTTCCCACCAATGCAGCTCATCCCCAGCCTATATTGACCCTGCAGGTTGGATCTTGTCAGGGTTGGAGGCCAAGGTCCGGGAAGGGCAGAGACTTGCCTCAGGCCACATGCAGGTCTGTGTTAGGCCCGGACCCAAACCCAGCCCTCCTGACCAAAATCAGCGGCCCTTTGCCACCCCAGCTTCTGGGTCAGAGTTGGCCCACTTCCCTCCTGGTTAAATGTCACTAGGACGCCAGAGCCGAGTGACGGCCTGGGCCTCTGTCCCAGGGCTCTTGGAGGGATGATTCAGAGGTCCAGGGGTGTTGAATCCAGGGCCGTGTAGGCAGGAGAGCATGCACAAGTGCACATGTGTGCATGCATGGCTGTGTGCACGTGTATATGGGGGACGGTGCATGTGTGCACATGTATGACTGCATACGTGTACGTGGAGGCTTCACCTGTGTGTACATGCATGGCTGTGTACACGTGTGTGCAGAGGACTGTGCACAAGTGTACATGTGGGACTGTGTGCATGTGTACATGAGGGACGGTGCATGTGTGTGCATGTATGACTGCATATGTGTACGTGGAGGCTTCACTGGTGTGTACATGTACAACTTGTACACGTGTGTGCAGAGGACTGTGCATGTGTGTACATGTATGGCTGCATCTGTGTACATGGGGCTGCACATGTGTGTACATGTATGACTTGTGCATGTGGTGTACATGTATGACTGCAGGTGTGTACAAGTATGACTTGTGTGCATGGGGGAGTGTGCATGTGTGCCTGTGGGACTGTGTAGATGG